TTCTTTCTTATCTAAGGTTGCTCCTTTCTCAACCTTATGTATTTATTATATAACATATGTTTTATATTGTCAACGCTTTTCCTAACTTTTTTACAAAAAAAGAGCTGTCAGCTCTCATTTTTCCACCAACAAAACCCCGTGCTTATATAACTCTGCAAAAGCCAACAAAGCATTATCTCGCATTTCGTAATACGCTGAATGCGATATGTGCAATGTGTCGTTATAGATTTCGTAGTCCCTAGTCTTTTCGCAACCAACCTCTAAATATCGTTTATATAACAATACTCGTTGTTCGCCATCCCAAATGCTACTTACTGCCTGTTCAATAGCTCCAAGCTCTCTTTCTGCTTCATCTTTACGTGAAACAATCTCCTCTACTTGACTGCTGTTAGGATTAGCTGTAGAGCGTGGCTCAAAGGTGTATGTCTGCGTTAGTTTTTGACTCCCAACGTTTCCATAGACTCTGAGCCATCGCTGATATTCTTTCAGTTTCTTAGTTGCTTGTTTAATCGTTTTTTCTTCATCAATTTCAGGAAAAAAAGTCAGCATCACGCACCTCATGTTTATAATTTGTGTTATAATATTAACTAACTTTTATGCTCTTGTGACAGTGCGTTTGTGCTGTCTTTTTTTACTGCTTAAAAAGTTTAATCGTAGCAATTGTAAACGTCACCAAGATAACTACTAAAGCTACACCCAACGAGACTAAAGCAGTAACATACAATAACGTTTCTACGAAATTTACAATGTTTCCCATCTCACTCACCTTTTTCTATTTGGCTGACATCAAACTGTTGTCCGATAACGGCTTGCTGATATTGCTGTGCATTGACTGGATAGTAGTCATTTCCGACCACGATTGTGTAATTATATCCGTTGCTATACTTATCCTGCACAATTTGACTTGTGTTTGGAGTCTCGTATGTTTCTGTTGTTGCGTCTTTGTATGTGCTAAAGCGCTTATTTACATCTCTCAACGCTGTTTGTGTTCTATTTAGCTGTCCACGCAAGCCCTCAACCTGCAATCTGTAGCTATTAACCTTACCGACCGAAATCAGCAGCAGCATAGTCAGAGATATAAGAATACCGCCTACGATTTGTCGTTCTTTCAGCTTCAAAGTGCCTTAATCCTTTCTAAAATTTCTCTCAATTCATCGTCATCTTTAGCTTTTTTCGCATGGCCTCCGACATATTTGTAGTTTTCGATATTCCCTGTCAATTCATGCACGACTATCATGTCATCTCCAGTCAGCGGGTTTGGCGCTACATTAACCATTGCACCGTACCCGTTATCAAAAAAGTATATATGCCGTGGATACGCTCTTTCCTGCGTCCCATAAATTCCGAAAAACTTACTTTCAACGTCAATTATTGGTATTGTCTGCATTTTCGTTTACCTCCAAACTGATTTTGCAAAGTGCATAATCTGGATTGTTCTGCATCCAAATCGCACGTCTCATTGCGCTTTTTTTATCAAAAAACTTTATCTCTTTAATCACGCTGTTATCAATCTCTGATACAGCTTTTACTACGTATGTTGTCATTTGATGTCAAATCCTCTCGTTCCTAATCCAGTTCGCCCATAGTATTTTTTAATCGGACCAATTCTAAAACCATTTTTGCTTCTATACAGCGTAACAAATACCCGTTGTTCCTCATCATCAAAGCGATAAGCCTTTTCACCTTCCCAAATACCATAGTCAAGAGGCACTGCATTAGGGTAACCGCTATGGATTAGGGTATCTTCATATTTTTCAAAGCATGTCATTATTTAACAACCTCTTTAGCGTCCTCTACTGTTCTAAACGTGATACGTTGTTCCACGAGAAACTGCTTAAATGCTTTTAATTGATCCACGGTCATTTCAAACTGCACTGTGGTCTGATAGCGTGTTTCAGCTTCAAAAGCATTCTCTTTTTGGATTTCAAAAACTACGATTTCATCCAGCTTATCCATGGTCTTCTTCGTCAGCTCAAAGCTATCGCGCTTGAAATCACTGGCTTTTTGGAAATCTTTGATATACTCGTCAAACACTTCTCTATCCAGTGCATGCTTGTCTGCTTGGATGTTTAAGTAGTTACGCACCGAAGAGTTTCGCAACTCTTTTTGTGTGTTGTCGTAGTCATCAATAACTTTCTTAAATTTAGCCAATAAATCATTAAGAGGTTTAACACCCTCTTTATAATCATTCTCAAAGGTTTTGTAAGGCTCTGTGATAGCCTCTTTAACGCTCTTGCGTTCATCTTCAAGCTGTTTAGTAAGCTTGTTCATCGTAGCTCTCATAGCCCTTGCGTCCTTGACACTGATATCCTCGACATCTAGGTCTGCATACCCTTTGACAACTTCATTGATTTTTTTAGCAAAATCGTCCTTGTCAAAAGTGATAACCGCTGGCGTGTACTGTGTTGTTAATTCTGCCATGATTCCTACCTCCTTACATATTTTCTAGGTTCATACTGGCATTGTTTCCTGCTTGCACTTCTGCTTTTTTAACTTCATCAACAAGCCATTTCAAGCAGTCGGCTAGCATGTTTTTAGGCATATGTTTGAGGTCATTAACGTTAGCCATTCCTTGCACTGTCGCCAGCACGTCGCCGAACTCTTGACCGCTGACTTGTGACAGCTTTTCAATGCCTTTGAGAACTTTTCCGTACTCTTCACTACTCACCAATTCCTGTTGAGGTTGTGATTGTTGTTGTGGCTGCTCATCATATTCATATCCGTCAATGTCTTCCTCACCAATGCCAAACAGTCCTTGCAAGGCGTATTTGCGAGCGTATGAGCTTACCGCGCCGCTCCATTGTGGGGCTTGCATCTGTTTCACCCCACCTTTAAACACAGGGACGCTATCAAGCTCTGCGAACGCTGTAGCTTCGTGAACTTCTCCGTCCTGTTCAGCTTTAGCAATGGCTTTTACAAAGATACGCCCCCCCATTTCAAATAGTTCATCAGAAGCGGTCACTACCCAACCGCTTCCAATCTTCTTGATTTTTGTAAAGATTTCCTCGGCGTTACGAAAACTATACTTAATACCCGGCTTTCCACTTTTGGAAACTTGGACTTTTTGCTGCAACTCTGAAAATGTCATTTTCTCTGTCATATCTCTATCCTCTCTTGCTTTTACTCTTGCATTCCTTTAATAGCAATATTCACGCAATCCCAAAAAATAAAATCTTTAAGTGCGCATACTGCTTTTAATTGTCTGATAACCTTAATCGCTTCATCTTCTACGTCATTGCTATATCCAGCATTGACAGCTCTAACAAGCTGATTGACTCCTTCGATCAATCGGTGATTTTCGATAACGACATTATCTGTTGCAATATATTTATTATCATCAATCATCAGAATATAATTAGCGTCTTCAATTTCAAATTTTTTTAACAACGTAGCAACACCCAACATCACTCTGCCAATTCCGTTTTTATTGACCGTTTGGCTATTTGCTAACGTGAGACCCATATCAGCCATAAGTCTTAATAAGATTTCATCAACGCTGTAAGCTGTCCATCCATTCAATTCGACAATATCCATTAGATTTTTTGCCATCAATTCATTTGTATTCATTATGCTACTCCCTTTTCAATCAAAATATCATCTACGTAATCACATTGCTCTAGCACATCATCAATGCCTGTAACGTTGTGAAAAATCGTTAGATTTTGCCAAACTTCAAAAGCCAAATCATAAATCTTCTTAACTAAGCAACGTGTTTGATTATCTAATTCCATTTCAAGAATTTCATCAGCGTATTCTTGCACAGTTTCCATTGCTTCAATCAATCGTGTTTCGTCATCCATGAAACTTTCAACTTCATGAATTTCAATGCTCAATTTATCTAACTTCTCTAAAACTTCATTCATGTTATTAACCTCTTAGTTGTAATACTTGCCTTGTGATTGAATATAAGCACCGTATCGCTTTAAATAAGCTGGAGTAGTATAATTACTCCCTTGTTCTTCCAACGGCTCTCTATCGCTCTTTATTTTAGCTGTAGGAGTTGTTGACTTAGCTGTCACAATAAAGTAAAGCATAATCAACGATACTGCTATTAAAAGCACCGCTTGATTAGTAGTTAGTAGATGTTCCATGTTTAACCTCTTTCTTTTGAGGTACACAAAAAGCGTACCTGTATTTTCAAATTTCACCTTGACTAAATACAGATACGCTTGATATAATATGAGCGTCTGATTCAATCAGGCAGTTTACCGCACTGTAAGAACCAAAGTTTGGCGATGGAGGTTCTTGCAGTGTTTTTTATTTACCTTTAACTTTATCAAAGACTAAATCAATGCCTTCACGAATTATATTCGCTTTTGTTTGACCAGTCTTTTCACCAATCTCATCTAGTTTTTTCTTATGAGTTGCTGAAAGCCTGATACGCATATTATAATCTTTGATTTCGTCAGTAGGTCTTCCAAGTTTCGATGATACTTTAATCACCTACCTTCATAACTTTTTGTAAAGCTCTTTATCAACCTTACATACTTATTATATATTTTGTGTATCCAAAAGTCAACACTTTTTTGAAAGTTTTTTTATTTTTTTCAAACGCTCTGTATTTAATTGTCAAAGATCTCTTACTCGCTCTAAATAAGCTCTTAAATCTCTGTCGTCATAAACCAATTCAACATCTCTTATATGCGGATTGTTGCAGTCATACCAGTACGCTACTTCGATATTGTTTCTGTAGGGAAAAATCATATTATCTGACCATAGAGTGACACTGGCAACATATCCATTTTTGAAATAATAGCGATGTATTTGTTTGTGATAATCAGTCAATTCCAATTTTGGAAATTCGATAAATCTAACCGCCTCAGCGATTAAGTCTGTAAATTTAGGTATTGTTTTCATTCTCCTCCTCATAAACTTCTATATGCTTCTTAGCGTGTTTTCTTTGCAATTACACGCTTCTTCTTTAGTATTAAAACACACACGCTTCCTCGTAGCTCTGCGGTTAAAATCCAACTTAGTTTCTACTGCTATCCATGTCATACTCAATCTTCATTGTTTGTTACTGTTACAGGTACAATGCTTTCAGGCATGTACTCGACTTCATATTTATACTTGCTGACATCCTTGCCTTTCGAAATATCTTCAACAACATACATGTTATTACCTGTGAGATTTACGAAGTGTTTCTTATATTTTCCTTTTGATGTTTCTGCAATAATCGTGATTTTTTCCTTGTCGCTAGTGTCGACTGAGAGTAATCCTTCCACTTTAAACTCAATCTTATCCGTCCGTGTAAGCAGTGGTATCAACGCAGAGTACTCATTAAAGTTATCAGCTTCCTTGCTTACGTTATACGAAACCTTGTCAGCTTCACGGCATCCAGCTAACACCAAAACCCCTGCGAACATCATAAAACCTACTGCTAAAATTCGTTTAATCTTCATTCTCGTTTACCTTTCTAAACCATCTTCGGCCAATCAGTATTTTTTTCATAAACAGGCACCCATTCAAATCCGTTGTCGAAATAATCATTTGCTTGCTCTATAGTGATTGGAACTGCAAACTTTTTAATGCACTCTTGTGCCGAAAACTTACTAACCAACTCACACTCAACGTGTTTAGTTTGTAATGCTTCGTCTTTGTACGGATCACGCACTACCAACAAGAAGTGCGCTTTATTTTCTTTTTCTTCAAACTCAATCCGCTTGAAACAGTAACCTTTGAGTACATTTTTGCGCCAGTTATCAACTACATCCAGTCTACTTTTTAATTTTTTTGCATCGTTCAATTCAATCCGATTGTCTCTTCTGGTATTTTCGAGACTTCTAACTCTATCATACAGTTCTTCCAATTTTTCTTTGAAGAATTTTATATCCCAAGCTATTTCTTTATTTGCTTTATTTCTTTTATCTGAGTACGTTTTTATTGCATCGGCAATATTGTCCGAAATGTACACCAATGCAAGCACCCCAAAAATGATTAAGCCTGGTAGAAATATTCCAATCATTTCATTTCACCTCATTTATTTCGATTTTGATTCTGTATTTACCTTTGATCTCACTGATACCACCATAGACAAATGACAACCGTCTAATAATCTTGTAGTTGTCATCCTTCCAAAGCTCACCATCAGTGTAGCCGTCAATTAGTGCTTTAATTGTCGGATAAAAATTTGGTGGATCTAGCCGTCGTCTTGTCGGGCTGTAAATTGTTACTACAACCTCACAAGGCCTTTCTTCGCTAAAAGCATTTTTGTCCTCAGCTCTTATGTCAGATCTAGCCAAGTATCTAAGCATCTTAGTAATCTTGGCTTGCTGCTTAAAATGCAGTCGGTCATTAGAGTTAAGCATCTGCTTTAGTTTTTTTGTGTTAGATAAAATGTATTCGAATTTCATTGTTGTTTGCTTGCTTTTTAATAGCTTGACAATATCTTGAGGAAATCTTCGATTTTTACTATACAAATAAAACTCGTTCCATCAGATAAGAAAACCTCTGTATTATTGCCGCTAGGGGCAATTTTAACGATTTGGTCAATGTTGTAGTAAGAGTAACCGTTGTTAAGTAGTTTCATTTTTCCCATTCTTATACCTCCTCATAAGTTTTATGGAAAATATCTGGTTTGCATGGGTAAAACTCACCTTCAACACCTTTGATGATGTAATCTCCTTCACTGACTAACATCTTGCCTTCCAGCGTATCAATGCAAAACCCCACCAAAAGGTCGTAGAAAGTTTTTCCTTTTGCGAACTGCTCAACTTCATAAAAGTTGATACCATCGAACTGAATGGCTTCAACTACTACTGGTTTTTTCTTGTATTTCATTCTTCAACCTCAACCCCTATCTCATTCAATCTTTTATAAACCTAGCTATTTCTTCTCGCAAAACAACTTTTACCATTTCAAAAGAATCGCTATTTAGGTGAATTTCAAAAGTTGTAGCACTGTTTACACTTTTGCGACTAATCTTGATCTCGCTACCACGAAATTCATCCCTGCTAAAAGATTTCAAAATCGCTTGAGCACGCTTTATCTGTGCGTCGTATCTTTTTACTTTTTCTAAATCTTTAAGTTTCATCCTTGTACCTCTGTTTGGGTGTCATTCAACTCCTCTAATGATACCCACTTAAAATTAGGGTATTTTTCTTTTGCTTCTGCTTCGGTGACTTTGTGAGAACGTCTGCAGATATCTTTTGTCGACCCCGTTCCCGATATATAAACTAATCCAGAAGAGTAATCGGCTCCAGAAGAGTAATCGGCTAAAAATGTGTATTCCCAATAGGTATTTTTAGGCATATCCACCAGCAACGCGCCAAGCGGTTCTTCAACAACTTCCACAGCATCAAGTCCAAATGTTACCAACGTAGCAAGCGCATACTCACGCAATCTATTAGTTTTATAAAGCAGTGGTATCAACGCAGAGTACTCTGAAACTTTTGGAAACTCATCTCTTACCTGTAGGCTGTAGAAATCGCCGAACCACTCTCCAAGTTCAAAGTAACTATCTTGTACCGTTCGTAAAATTCAATAGCTACTTGAGGCACCTTTGGTTTTTGAGGTTCGATTGGTTTTTTCGGTTCGTTGATTTGGTTGACTATATTAAGTACAGATTTTTTTGAGATAGGTTCATCTACAAAAGGTTCGCACTCTCCCGTGTTTTCAATAGTTTTTAATTGCTTCTTCTTCTTTATTCATCATCTTCCTCCTAGAACTCATCTAAATTATCAACTAACATACCCACAACAAACTAGACATATCTTCCAAAGCTTCTAGATAATCTGGATTATCGTTTTTCTCAGCCAGAAAATCTTTTGCTAGTCTAATTTGAGCACCAGCTACACCTATAATCATCGTTCTTCCTCGGCGGGCACCGCAAACGCCCAGTAGCGGTCGTCGTAGTCTTTGATTTCTTGTTCGGTAAAGGTGAAGCGTTCTATATTATCTTTTTGGGCAACAACACTATAGCCATGGCTTGCTTCAACTCCATCATCAGAATTATAAAGAAGCGACCTTCCTTCTTTGTCCCTCACCCAATACAAACGGTTCTTTTTCAATCTCGTAGCCATCAAGCCATGCACGGGCGAAAAGTTTTTGGTTCTTTTTCGTCTGTTCTTCACTGTCCTCAAACAACCAAAAATATAGCTCACTGCTCATTTCTGGGTCGGAATCCATGGCATCTCCAAGCCACCAATTATCTGTTTTTGTATGAACTATCCAATCAGCCACAAACCGCGGAATTGTCACCTTTTTAGGTTCTGGGATGACTTCTTTGACATCTGAAACACTCTTCAACATCATCATTCCATCCAATGCGTCAACAGCTTTCAAACCAATATGGATACTCATTGAATCATTTGTTTTTTTATATTTTGCTTTAAACCCAATACTCTTTATCGACTTCTAATTTCATCATACAACCTCTTTCTCTGCTTCTTTCATGTCATAAAACAACGCTTGTTCTTGCCAGTATTGTCTAATCAATTTTATTTTAAATCTTCTTTATCGTCCAACTTAGGAAGTGGCTTAGTTGTTTCTGCTTCTATCCACGCTCTCACTTTTTTATTTTTCGTCCTAGAATCACTTAACTCAAAAGCGCATCGTCTAACTATGTCATCGCTCAAAATTTTACGCATTCTGTAGATAGCAACAATTCCTATTTCAAGACCCTCTTGACGCACGACTGATTGCAAGAGCGCAAGCCTGCACTTCTCTTCTCGGTATCATAAAATTTCCTACGTAAGCTATCAAAGAAGCTTTTCCTTTTCTAACCTCTAGTATCTCAGCAATTATTTTTTCTCTGAGTTCGTTACTAATATTTAACGCCATGTTCAACCCTTTCTATTGTTATTTATGCGCATATACCGCCACAGGGTAACGCTCCCCTGTCAAGGTCTAAACGACAGCACCAAAGGATAAATAATGAGATTTTTAAATTCGACAGCAACTATTCCTATCGAACAATTATTATGTAAGGAGTGTCCACGCTCTCCCTAGCCCTTGAGCGCTTACTGCAACCGACTTTCTTTTTAATATAGTTATGGCTAGGTATATCTGTGTCAGTGTCGAAACTGATAAATGAGCCATTCTCACACAGAACATTGTTAGAAATACAGCGTCCGTGACCCACGCTATGGGTTTCCTTTCTTTTTTTGTAAAACTATGATGGATATTCAAGATTATATTTTTGTCACGGATATAGCTGCAACTGAATCGAACCAGCTTAAGGCAACCATGCACAGCCACCGATAAATATTTCTAGAAGCGCTCGCTGATTGCTGTAGCCCAATCAGGTCTTAGCGTCCTTACTTTCGATATAGCGCTACAGTATGCCTGCTAGATGACTCGCACATCTTGACAGCCTGTTGGTCATTTACCATCGAAGTATGTATGTATGGGGTATTGATTTGAATGGAGAAGACTATAAATTATGAAACGTTGACCAATTGCTGCAGCAGGCTATGGATGTCAGAGGAATCGAAACCTCTGAAAAACCATTCATCCACCGCTACTAACTTAAAAATATAAGATCGAGTGCTCGCATAGTACAAACGTGAAAACTATGGTCATAGCATTCCTTTGTTTTATAGTCACGCTTGTTTGTGTGTGAGTATTAAGCTAAATCATTCTAATCATTCGCTGTCACATGATTAGTAAATCTTTCTAGTAAGCTTTTTACGTGATTCACTGCACGTATTTCAGCTATGTCACTTGCGAGGTGCGTGCTTATTTAAACAGTTTGTCCATCATTTTTTAAAATCTTTAAATCCTTCAGGTATATCATCTTCTTTTTCTTCAATTTCTTTTAGCTGGTTCACCATCTAATGTTTCGAGCGTATACTCAGCTTTTACTCGAATTGGCTCGCTTTCAAGCGCATCACATAGTGCTGAGTACACTTTTTCGTCTTTCATATAAAATTCCTCTGGAAGATACAATGCGCTTTCAATTGCTGCGTCAAAGACAGCTTCAAAGATAAAACACCCTCTTTGTTATTAAACTTCTCTAAAAAAACCGCCATTTTCTTTGGTCTAATACGATAAATTTCATTGTTCATTTCCATTTTTGATACCTCTCTAATTTCTAATTCTTACCAGTTACGTCCGCCAACCAAAGCCATGCGTTGCTCTTGCTTTCTGCGTAATGCAAACTTGTCATAGTTTCTTGCGTTTGCTTCCCAGCTAAAACCACCTTTTGTGACTGGTCGATGTGGCTTAACCACATAAACCTCTCTGCCTTGATTAGCAACTTTTGCTGTATCTAGAACCTCACCAGTTGGTTTTGCTGCTGCTTCTTTTTTGTCATCAAAAATCTTTTCAAATAATTTTTTCATGTTTAATCCTCCATATCTTCAATCATAAAATTCTTGATTTCTTCAGTCTTGTAAAATATTTACTAGCTTCCTCGTAAGGTGCTTTATATCTGTTCAACGCCACAATCCCGCCACTTTCTGAGCGTTGATTTAGAAATCCCTAAAGCGTCTTCTACTTTGTTTTCTGGTATCAGCCCAACCGCTTCATAAACTTCCAGATTAGATTTCCGCTCAACAATCTTTTCAACTTGTTCAAACAAGTAATCAGTAATCTTCTTTGATTGAGCTTTCAGAAATTTTTCTAGTTCTTCAATCATATTCAACCTCCACGACATAGCTTGCCTGCTGATGTCGATTTATTTAGTGCATCCACAGCACTTAGAGCCGTGCAGTTTATCATAAGGAGACTTTGTAAAATTAACTGCTTCGTTTCAACGTTTGCCATTCTAAAAACTTTGGACAATTTTGTTTTTTTCTGGGCACTGGCACGGCTTTAGGTGCTGTAGATAAGCACCCTTTAAGTAACTCGCATGATTGGTTTGCGTGAGTAATGACGGTACTCATTCAACACAATCAGCAATTGCCGTTTATCCTGTTTAGCTAGTAGTGACTTTTTGTAGTCGTCTAGCTTGTAATAGTGCTGTTCAAAGTCAGCAATGATTCTTGATTAGTCACATCGTCATCCTCTTATCTTCAATGTTTCCAGCTTTAAAATATATTTCCGTTTGACCCTTTCAGCATTCTGCTAAAGTTTCTAGCGTTGTAAGCCGCCTTTAGCTCATTACTGGTCAGATTAGTGTTGATAATCGTTCGCTCACGTTTATCTAAAATGTCAAACATCAAATCTTGTTCCCAATCACTCTTAGGTTTAACTGCGCTATTCTGAGCGCCTAAGTCGTCCAGTATCAAAAAGTCAACTTCGGTTAGTTGTTTGACTATCTGGCTTTCTGTTACCGCTTGACCGCTCTTGTCAGCCCATCCAGCTTTAATCTGCTTAATGATTTCCGTCATGTTGACGAACAGGAAGCTTTTAGGTTTGCCGTTCTTTTTGTATTGCTCGTTAAGCAGTTTAGCCATTGCACACACTTAGATGGCTTTTGCCAATACCAGTAGAACCAGTTACAAGCGTATTGCCTGTCATGTCGTTCCAGTACTTCCTAGTCTGATCTTTGAAAAATTCCAGTAGGTCATTTTCTTCTTGCGTCTTCAGCTTTGTAGTTGTCGAACGTAGCGTCTTTTAATTCTGCTGGTATCGTACTATCTCGCATTAAACACCTCGTAGGTGTGAACCAGCAAGCTGACCTGTGTGCTTCTTTCTCGACCCCTTCCGCTTCTCGTTTGTCTATGATTTCTCGGGTACATACTGGGCAGAATGGTTCTAACTCTTTTGGCTTGCCATCAACATAGACAGTACGCATTGATTTAATCAATCGCTGTTCAGGATGTGCTGGGCAGGTATCTTCAAGCGTTACGGTGATAGGTTTTGGTATCTTGCCAAAATTGTGATACTCTCCCACGTTTCACCTCCTTATCTAAATTCATCTAAGCTGACATCTAGTGCGTCAGCAATTTTGACGGACCGTTTCAAATGTTAATTTCTTGCTGTTATTTTTCTCTTCAACGCATAAAATAGTGTTGGAGTTAAACCTGCTTCCTTTGCTAATCGATACAAGTGTCCACCCTTTGTCGCTTGCCATTTTTTCGATTTTTTCAATCATGATACCCTCCTAATGAAATATATTGATTTTTAATAAAGTTAGTTATATAATAAACATCTAACAACTCAGGTTTTAAATTCGACTTTAACTACCAATTAAGTGATTCCTGTGTCGTTAAATCAGACTAGAAAGGGAATAGCAATGATAAAATTTATCTCAGAACTTTTTAAAAATAGAGAATCAGTTGTTGTAGTTGATGTGACTGGAAAAACACATACATTCAAACAAATGATTTATTTTTCAGAAAAAGATAACTATGCAGTCTTCAATCTAATGACGATCTACATCACGTCATTGCGATTGACAAAATCGTTTCAGCACACTAGTCAGCATTACCGCTGGCTTTTATTTTTGCTGAAAACTCTAAAGACACTTTGACTGATTTGTAACTGCGTCTGATTTCGAAATCAGCACTTTCAAAAAGTATTAAGCAGTGGTATCAACGCAGAGTACTGTTCAATCTCATGAAACAACTTAGGTGTGTGTTGTTTTTTTGCTTTCTTGCTATACGGATAACGTTTTGGTCTCATTTCATTCCTCCTAATCTTTGTAAAGAATGCTGATTGTACGAATTATGCCATGGTCGGTTTGAAACGCTTCTGTTTTCGCTTCAACTACTTCAATCCCAGCCATAAACTCATTGACCCGTTTTTCAAAATCATAATCAAATTCAAACATTCCCTTAGTGAATATTTTTAATTTTATTTGACCTACCTTGTCATCAGTTTGTCGTGGTCTAATTGGTGTTGTGCGTTTATCATGTTGTTTCGACATGTTTAATTTCATTCCTCCTAGAATCCATATTTTTCCTGCATACGCTTAGCTTCCTCTTCGTCAATGTACGAGTTTTTCTTGCCGTTTCTTCTCTCTGCCTCATTCGCTTCATGGTCAGCTACCGTCTTAATGTTGCCATTCTTCCAGTTAGTCAAGATACCTTTCAAGTAGTTATACTTCCTCTTAGAACCTGTCTCACCAGCGGTGATGTCAATAGCTTTTTCAATCAAACTCTTTTCAAGACCATCAATTTCCATAAAATCCTCAAGCTCACCAATCTGCTTAGGTGATAGAGCTAAGTTTTGACTTTCAAGATAGGATTGAATACCTGACCAACCGATAGGACGACCGACCGACTGACTTAGGTCAGTCTCTATTAGTGTTGTTTGTCGGTTGTTTTCTCTACCTACGGCAGTAGAATCTATTTCTTTATCTAACTCTATATTATTAACTCTATATATATAACTCTCTATAGTGTGACCATTCGTCATTTCTGAAAGTGACGTTTCGTCATTACTGATGTGACCATTCGTCATTTCTGAAAGTGACGTTTCGTCATTTACAGGGTGTTCTAAATAGATTTTATTACTTGCGTTGAATCGCCTTTTTTCTACAAGTAGACCAGCGTCAGTCAGCTCTTTTTTTGCTTTAATAACGACACGATTGGAGCATTTTAGAATGGGTTCCAATTCTTTGACGCTAAAATTACAATACACACCCAAGTCATCGACAAAACCATTTTTAATAGAACCTCTAAGCCTCCAAAGTATTACCCCGTAGAGCTTTTCAGCTCTCAGACTCAGCTTATCGTAAGGCGGATAATTAAAGGCTTGTGGAATTTTATAGTAAAGTTCACTGGTGTTTAACTCTTTAGCTTGTATTACCATTAAATCCCTCTCCGTTATTTTTAAAATTGTTCACTTTGTTGAACTTTTACGTTAAAAAAATATGCGCCAATATCTTCTTCTGGAATATCCAGCAAACGAATCGCTTTTTGAATTTCGTTGTTTTTCCAGTATCGCTTGTTGTTTAATTTCAATGATATGGAACGCTCAGATAGACCCATTTCCAAAGCAAACTTACTTCTAGTCCCTAAGATTTCAACGATCCGTCCGTTAAGTTTTGAATAATCGAAAATCATAACCTCTCCTTTCGTTATTTAATGTTCATTTCATTGAACTTTATGAATCTATTATAACAAGATAAAAATGAAAGTCAACAGTTTTTGTTCATTTTTTTGAACTTTTTTATTTTTTTCTTGAACTTATATTGTTAATTGTGTATCATATTTACATAACCTACTATTATATGGAAAGGGAAAAATATGAAGAGAGATACATCACAAAGATTGAAGCAAATAATGGAAGAAAGAGGTTTGAGACAAGTAGATATACTAGAAATGTCTAAGCCTTATCAAGAGGAATTTAATGTAAAATTGGGGAAAAGTGCGTTATCTCAATACATCAGTGGGAAAACTGTACCTGACCAAGATAAGCTTGTTTTATTGAGCAAAACGCTTGGAGTGTCCGAAGCGTGGCTTATGGGATATGATGCGACCAACGTAGCCAACGTCTACGGAAATAACACTGGAATCAATACAACTGGTGACATCAACGGCAATGTCTCGTTTGGTTCCACTATCCAAAAAGAGGATTTACATGAAGTAGCTAGCAATCTCAATCTGACAGATAGAGAGCTACAAGAAAAGACATTTAATGAAGTATCTGATTTGAGAGCGTCACAGGCTAGGTTAGAAAGCGCTATCGCTAAATTATTCGAGAATCAAGCTAATGTGTTGAATAATATAAAGAGCGTGGATGACACGTTTAAGGAGATGTTTAACATTATGCTAGATAAGTTGGGGGAAAACAATGAGACGAAATAGCGATATATCTGGATGTTTTGTGCTAATAGGGATGCTACTATTCATGGGGCTAGTACCTTACTTACTCTATTTTGGAGCAATAATTCTAGTGATTTATGTCCTGATTAAGTCTATCCCTTGGATTGCCAAAAAAATTCGGGAATACAAAAAAGAACAATATTTCAATAGTGATGAGTTTTTAGAGCACAAATCAAAAATAGAACATGCTGTCCAAGAATATAATGAACTTTCTGAATATGTTGATTCTTTTGAAGAAGTATCGCTGCAGTCAGATAGTAGTGAACGTTATAAATATTCTGGGCTAGCAAAATACGAAAACACTAGCTCATACAATATTAACCGAGAACAAAACTCTAAAGATTTAGAGGCAGAAAATATTCATTATGCTTCGTTACCAGTCGTAAGAAGAGCGTCCGAAGAACCTTTTAAATACTTAGTTAAATATTTTGATATAGACATAACAGAAGAGAGTTTAAAAAGAGTTCAAGAAATTGCAGAAACAACTTCACGATTTGAAAATGCAGAAGATAACCTAGAAATGAGACTAGATAAAATCGAGGAAGATTTTGACCCTCCTCAATTTATCAAGACATATTTTTTGGATGAATTACATGAACGATTAGAAATTGAGATACCGCAAATAAATTTCCAAAATCCAGAATACATTTTTAAGTATGTTAGCGCTGGTGGTAATAGCTCTCAAACAACCACTATCACTTTTGATGAACCTACACTTGAAGCCTTTTCTGAATATCTTTCAGAGCGAATTAAAGTTGCTAAAAGTGCTAAAGCTCAACGTTATTTGATGACTAAAAAATTACGTGATTTTATAAAAGAACGTGATGATTATACTTGTCAAATTTGCGGTGCATCAACTGCTAAGCAAAGTTTGCTTTTATTGGAAGTGGATCACATTATTCCGATTGCTAAGGGTGGCTTATCAGTTGAAGAAAATCTGCAAACTTTATGCTGGAAATGCAATCGCAGTAAATCTGATAAAATATATGCTGGTTGAAAGCGTGGAATAATAAGTTAATGTGGATGATGCGTTTAATGAGATCTTGAAGGAGTTTAAGAAATGAGACTAGATGAAGATTGTGTTCGTGATATTTTGTTGGTGACTGAAGAATACTCGAATTTCTCGATTCCAATCGCAGATACCACGTACTTTGAGAAACTAGGCAACAAATACAGTCAGCAAAAAATCCTGTACCATCTTAAGCAATGCTATCTAAGCAACTTGATAACTGAGTTTAGCAGAAACTATGAAGGTTATTCCGTTCTTGATTTATCTCCTGAAGGGCACAAATTCCTGTCAGATATAAGAAATGACAATAATTGGAACAAAACAAAAGAGGTTGCCAAAAACATTGGTTCAACCTCTATCGGCGCCTTTAAGGATATCGCTTCACAAGTCGTAGCTGAGTTAATCTCTAAGCATTTTAACGGATAATTTAATATCTAATTCAGCACCAGAATTGTACAAGTCTGTGAAGTCTTGATTTAATTTTATACTTTTGACGTTCGGCAATCTGTAGTCATCTAAATAGATGCCATCTTTTTTGAATTGTAATGTAGCTAGTTTCAAATTATCACCTCAACGCTATTATATCATTTTAATCTAAAACACAGAAATGTAGGTAATTAAGAATGAAAAAACAAAATGGAAAACTCGGTTGCTTGGGAATGCTTGCTATTGTGCTGTTGTTCCCTTACATTTTTCAAATCGCAATATATGCTGTAATAATTTATTTTTTCTATAGGTTAATAAAATATTTCTTAGGCTCAAAGAACAAAGATACCAATGTCATTGACGGTGATTTAAAACCTGATTTCTTTGAGCGCTCTAAGCAAAAAATAGTTGCTTTTTGTAAAACCAATAAAAAGTTATTGATCGGTGTTGCTGTAGCTTGTGCAGTGATGTTTATGATTGGTATTATATCGATTATTGGATTTAGTCTCGGTAATTCATCGGACGATACAACTTCAAGTAGTTTTGATTACAGCACTACTACTACCCAATCAAGCTCTGAAAGCAGTTCAGAAGAAAGTTCAAGTAGTGAGATAGCTTCTTCTACTTCTACAAGTTCTAGTTCAGCAAGCACCAGTTCATCATCAACTACATCCAAAACAGAAACAAGTGTATCAACCGATGTAATAGAGACCACACCAGAAGAATTGTTTGAAAAATTGGATTATGGAGACTTGCCTGTAGGTCAAAGATATTCTTTCGTCGGTGTTCCAATAAATGCTGATTTATCTGGTCTAAACGGTATGAACGCTTATGGATTTTATGATATTAATGTGCGTGCTTCTAATGATGATGAGGGAGATTTTTATGTAATTGCTAGCAGTATCAACGATGTTAAAAGAGCGTATGCTTATGGTACTGTACGTTTTCAAGTTTTAGTTAAAGAGGTAGATGGGCTCGATGAATTATACGTAACTTCCATTTCACAATATTAATTTAAGAATTTTTTGTCAGATTTAAACCTCCACGATATAGCTTGCCTGCTGATGTATTTTAAATACAGAAAAGAGGTTTTATGGCAATTAAAGAAATTAAGAAGAAGAACGGTGAGATTGTTTATCGCAAGCAAATCTATTTAGGTGTTGATAACTTGACTGGTAAGAAAGTCAAAGCTAGTGTCACAGCTAAAAATAAAAAGGAACTTAAAAGAAAAGAACTCCAGCGTAGGCTAGAGTTCGAGAAAAACGGCAACACCGTTCAGAGAAACGCACAAGTACAATTCTACCATGAATTAGTCGAATTGTGGAAAGAAAGCGTGTATGGCAGCCTACAGCCGAATACAATCAAGAGCCATGAGTGGATTATAAATAATTACCTATTGCCACGATTTGGAAAAATGAAGATTGAAAAAATAACAACAATCAACGTGCAGGATTTCGCTAACGAATTAGCGAACGAGCGAAACATAAAAGGCGCTGGAATAATTAGCTATAAGCGTATCCTGTCCGAAAATAAACGTCTTCTTTCCTATGCTGTCTCTTTAGGAGTAATCAAATACAACCCAGCTATTGATATTACTATCCCACCAACAAAAAAAGAGCAACAAAAGACTAAGTGGTTTAAACAGGAAGAACTTAAACAACTACTTCAACAATTCGATAAAATGGAAACTGGGTACTATAGAGACTATGCTAGTGCTATCCTGTTTAAATTTCTGCTCGCTACTGGTCTGCGTGCTGGTGAAGCCGTAGCGCTGACATGGAACGATATTGATTTAGAGAGCGGAACAGTCACCGTAAATAAAACGCTGAATGGTCTGCGTGATGTTGTAGCCCCAAAAACAAAGTCAGGATATAGAACAATCAGTATCGACAAATCTACTCTACTCATGATGCGAATGTTTAGAGCACGCTCACAACAAAGAGCTGGGGCAGCAGGACTGTCTGTAGTATTCTGGGGAAAGAACCCTAAAACGCCAAAACAATTAGCTGTTGAGCGTAAAAAGCTTAGATGTATACTTGAGGACCTCGGAATGAAAAGACGTAGTCTCCACGCTTTTAGACACACTCACGCTACTATGATGGTCGAAGCTGGGATGCCCCCGAAAGAGTTGCAGTATCGCATGGGGCACTCTGACATTAGTATCACGCTGGGAATATACGCACATTTTTCAGACGAGTTGGAAAAGAAATCGGTTGAATATTATGAGAAAGCTATTAATTCTTTGTAAAGTTCCCAAAAAGTTCCCAAAATATATTTTTTGAAGTTTAAAAACCCTATTTTTATGGGTTTTTTAAATATTATGCCACTTCGGTCAGGAAAGTTAGCACAAAACACATTACGCAACTTTACGTTACTTTTAGAGTTTTCTACTATTATATATGTCTTTTTTAAATGTCGTTTAACGACATTAGGTGATTTTAGGAGTTCCCAAAAAGGAGAATAAAAAAATATGAGTTCAGCAGGCAAGAAACTAGCACTTTTAAAGTGCTTTTTTAATACAAAAAAACCACAGTCAGACAACTGTGGTT